GTCTTCACCAGTGACACATCTGACAGAGGTTTAACACCCAGAATATATAAGGAAATCAAAAAACAAAGAACCAAGAAAGCAAATGACCCAATTAAAAGATGGGCTAAAGATCGAAACAGAGAGTTCTCAAAGGAAGAAATAAAAATTGTTAAGAAGCATCTTAAAAAGTGTTCAACATCCTTAGTAATTAGGGAAATGCAAATTAAAACCACTTTAAGGTTTCACTTTACCCCAGTCAGACTGGCTAAGATCAAGAGAACAAATGATACTAAATACTAAGGAGGATGTGGAGAAAGGGGAACCCTCATTCACTGATGGTGGGATTGCAAACTCGTGCAACCCCTATGGAAAACAGAGTGGAGAACTCTTAAAAAACTAAAAATGAAACTACATTACGACCTGGTTATACTGATCCTTGGCATATACTCAAAGGACTCATCCTATTGTAGAGATACTTGTACAACCATATTTGTTGCTGCTCTTTTCACAACAGCTGAGAGATAGAAGCAACCTAAGTGTCCCTCAACTGATGAGTGGTTAACAAAAATGTCATACGTTTACACAATGGAGTTCTATTCAAGAGTAAAAAAGATGATATAATGAAATCGGCCAGTAAATGCATGGATCTAGAAACTTATACTAAGTGAAGTAACATAGACTCAGAGAAACAAAAGACATATGTTCTCCCTCATTTGTAAATCCTAGCACCAAATCCTTATAAGTGAGTGCTTCCTGATGCAATTGCAAGGACCAGGAATATGGAACAGAAACAGGGAGGTATAGGGAAAGAAGGAACCCAAGAGAGAATAATAGTAGGGTAAAGGTGTTACTAAGGGAGAAATATGTAAAAACGGGGTAAATGGGAGGAGGGGTTTACAAAGAACTATGGGAATAAAGGGGGAAAAATCTCCAGACACACAGTTAAAAAAAAAAGGGGGGGGGGTGCTGGAGATGGCTCAGTGGTTAAGAACATTGGTTGTTCTTGCAGGAGACCCAGGTTCGAATCCCAGCACCCACATGGCAGTTAACAACTGTCTATAACTCCAGTTCCAGGGGATCCAACAGCCTCTTCTGTCCTCCACGGGCACTGCACAACACAGGTCCACTCACCTACATGCAGGCAATACACAATACACATAAAATTAAAAAAAAAAAAGATTAAAAAAAAAAAGCTTTAGGCCCAGAAAGAACCCTACAGGGATTGAAAGCCCCTCCAGATGCAATACAGTTGTTAAATGAAAATCCCAGTGTCAAGAGGTAGGTTGCCTCCCTATGAGCTGTTGGCCTGAGGGGCCCTAAAGGTCCTCAAAACAATAAAGGCCATTGCCAATAATATTGGTTGTGCATCAGAAGTGGACAGAAAAGCCCTATTGCTAAAGATACTGCATGATGTGAGCACAAGGGAGGAAGAAATCAAGCTTGGCCTAAGCTGGAAACTCCCTGCCACTGAATGCATGGCTTTCATGGTGCCAGAAGGCTATATGCAGATGATTAGGGGAGATTCGTCCCCTATAATTCTGCTCAACGACAGACCTCCGCATGTTGCACTATCAATATACCAAACAAGATGATCCTGTTGGTGTAATAGTGGTACGCTAGACGTGTATGTACAAGCAGTAAATTTTCAATTGGATATAATGACTGCTCCTAGGGGTGGAACATACATCTAGTACTATAGACCAGGCCAACCCCCTATGGCAGGGGAGAATATAGGCCTCAGTGAGAAGCCACTGCAATTGTTTCATTAGATGGATGTGCTAAAGTACTGTCCAAGCATTTGTGTTTACACCCATAGGTTAAGTTATTATAGCAGCCACTGTTTAGATGTTCTTGCTGTTTGTGTTTTCATAATAGATAGAACCCAATGAAATGTGCCAAAGCCCATGGAAAAGAGACGATGCAGAGACCTGAAAGTTCAGTGTCTTGCCGCAATGGGAGGAAGATCATCCCACACTACCACTCCCTCCAAGGGTCAGGAACTTTCGTAGAAGAGGTTGGCAGGAAGAATGTAAAAGCCAGAGGAAGGAGTGGAGTGTTACCTGGCAGTGTCCTCCAACCACTATGCTGGCAAGCTGTAAGTCACACTTCCTTCCCACGCTTATCAAGGAGTCAAGGGGGTCCAGTTACCCCTCCCACCCAATCAATTGACCTTAGCTGCATGTGGGAGAGGAACTAAGGATATATAAGCTGAGAATGTCAAGAGGCACCTCTCTCGCCATTTTGTGCGGCTGTCAGGAAGTCACAGGATCTATATTTGAGTGTGGACTTTCCAGCACAGCCATAAATGGGGGGGCTCCCACTCTTCTGTAAATAAACCCCCACCCTATGCTGTGTTCGCAAGTCCAATAAACAAACAACCAAGAACAGAGCTAATGGAAACCTTCATTATTCCACAAAGGTTGACCCCATGTTGGCAAATCCTTTGGTCTTTGATTTTTTTATTTTTTGGTCTTTTTGAGACAGGGTCTCCCTGTAGCCCCAGCTGGCATGGAGCTTGCTATGTGGACCAGGCTGGGCTTGAGTTCACAGAGATCTGCCTGGCTCTGCCTACAAAGTGCTGGGATTGAAGATGTGTGCCACCATGATTTCTTATCCCTACTTTTCCATCCAATGTCATTGTGTATATATTTTTATGTAACTTGCTTCAAGTCATTTCAGGAAAAGTGTGTTAAAAATTGTCTCCAGGAGGCAGAGGCAGGCGGATCTCTGTGAGTTCAAGGCCAGCCTGGTCTACATAGTGAGTCCCAGGACAGCTGGGGCTACAGGGAGACCCTGTCTCAAAAAGATCAAAAAAAAAAAAGTCTCTCGTTGAAATAATAAAAAATTCTTCTAAAAAAAGACAGGGAGAGAGAGAGGAGAGATAAACAATGCCTAGCTAGTATAAAACACCAGAGGGGACTATATTAGTCTAAAAACCTACTGAAAAATTACACATAACAATATCTCTACATGATATTGGTAGATAGCTAAAGGCTACCTACCAAGAAATAGTCCTAGACAGGAGAAACCTTCCTTTGAGTTGTTGGCCAGGGTGGTCCAGGAGACTCCCAAAATTACACAGGCTATGGCCACAGCCCTTGACTGCCTCCCAGAACTTGAAGGTAAAACCCCATTCCTGAAGACAGGACATACTATGGACATAGGATCTGGAGCAATGGAAATGGAATGGATCCAGAAGCCACCTCTGTGAAGGCTAGCTCTCATAGTTTTGGAGGACCCTATGCAAGCTGCTAAGGGAAAAGATGAATCGATGGTCCAACCCCAGTTTCAAGGCCTAAAAAACACATCAATAACTGGCACAGCAAATAACACTAGTGTAGTAGTGGCACTTTTATCTTGGGGTAATCAACAGCTACCTAATTGAACTTAAAAGGAAGGAAACTCATGTGTGGTACTGTAACAGCCAAATATACATAGCTGGAGAGGCCAGAGATCTTAGAGAAAACCCCAAGGCTGTCACATCCCTAGACAAATGCAATTTCTTACTATGTGCAAAATATGGAGCCTTAAATTTACAGAGTGTGGGTCCTTGGACAGGTCTATATTAAAATTCACCCAGCCAGAGCTCACAAACCAATGCAGAAGAGGGGACAGAAAAATTTAAGAACCAAGGAAGAGGTGCATGACCATATGGAAATAGAATCCCACAGGCTCCTGGGACTCTTTTTATATGAACCTACAGCAATGGTGTCAGCATGCACAAGACCCATGCAAACTCAAGCAGACAAAAAATGAGCACAGAACTGTGGAAATGGACAGCAGGCCCCAATCTTAGTCACAGAATTACTGGCAGCTGATCACTGCTAGAAGAGAAAGTGCTAATCTTAAAGGAAGGGATTCTAGATAGGCTAACTAGACCTCAGTGGATGAACTTGTACTGAATGACAACTGGGGACATTAACTTGACATGATAGGCCCTAACAAAATGACAGACATGAATTCCAGTGGGGGGGATATGGAAGAAGGCCAGTGGGGAAAGGTGTATAAAGATGATTAAGATGTTCTGTATGAAATACACAAAAATTCAATTTGAAAATACTTTTTAAAAAAAATTAAAAGAGGGTTGGAGAGAAAGCTCAGCAGTTAAGAGTACTGGCTGTTTTTGCAGAGGACCCAGGTTCAGTTCCTAGCACCAACATGGCAGCTAACAACCATCCGTAACTCCAGTTCAAGTGGAACCCAAAATGCCCACTTCTGACCTCTGTGAGCACTGCACAACACGGGTACACTTACATACATGGAGACAATACACTCATACATGTAAAATAAAGTCTTTTTTTTAATTCAAAAGAAGAGGAAAGAAAAGCAGAAATTCAAAATATGATTAACAAGCCAGTGGTACACATCTTTAATCCCAACACTCAAGAGGCAGAGGCAGGCAGGATCCCTGTGAGATCAAGGCCAGCCTGGTCTACATAGCAAGTTCCAGGCCAGATGGGGCTATACAGAGACCCTGTCTCCAAAAAAAAAACAAACAACAACAACAAAAAAATGATTAACAAAATAATTGGAATTTAAAAGAGGCTGGGCATGGTGGTGCATGCCTTTAATCCCAACACTTGGGAGGCAGAGGCAGGTGGATCTTTTTGAGTTTGAGGACAGCCTGGTCTACATAGTGAGTTCCAGAACAGCTGAGGCTACAAGGAGACCCTGTCTCAAAAAGACAAAAAAAAAAAGTTAATGGCAATGTCAAGGTAATTTTCTATAAAGCATAAACACAAGCCAAATAGATTCAGGAGAAATAAAAGATCTAACATCTGACTAGTAAGTTCAGAAAAGAGAAAAGTAAAAAAATTATCAAAGAAACTAAAGAATATGAGCCTTAGAAATAAAAAGAATTATGCAGTGTCCAAAACAACTGGTCAGAATACCTTTGCCTAAACAAATCATTGCGAATTTACAGAGGTCATTAGCATATGACATTACCAGATGTCAACATTATGTCTTGTGCCTAGATATCATAATGTCATTGACTTTATTTTTATATTAATAAAGGATACTGAAAATGTCCATAGTCGATAAGAATAAGACCTGGATACAGCAATATGCATAATGCACTACCAATCTGTAAAGAAAAATAATGTGAAATGGTAAAAGTATACTCTTATTTAATGTAGTAGCAAATGTCCCCATTTTCTTGAGACACTATTCTTTCCTTTTATCCAAATAGACCATTTCCATAAAACTATTTAGACACTAAATTTTCATGGAGGCAACAGAAGACACTTCAGTAAGTAAAAATTACTGAAAGTTATTTGTCAAAGGAAGATATAGCATCACAGACATTAATCTAATGATTAACCTATCATTCAACATAAAATGCTTGAGGATTGCTATGAAAGGATGCTTGAGAATGACAATGAAAGGATCCACACACATCAAATGCTGTTCATTTTAATCACTGTCACAAGCCATCTCAAAATTCTAATTTATGAGCTGAACACTAAATTCAGCATGGTATGGGTCAACAGTACATAAGTTCTGCAGGTCTGTGCATCCTATTCTACTACAGCAGGGCATTAAAGTAATTATTGCATACACAAAGTGATGTTTTCTAAATGAGAATTAGTTGACAGAACATAAAATGTGCCTCATTATCCTACTACTCCCCCAAAGCAGGGAGTCTTTAAAGTAATCCTTAAGAGGCTAATGATAAAGGAAACATTTCAGAGATGCTTTAAAACTTACCTTTTTCTTAGTTGAGGTTTCTTTTAAACAGTAACAGTATAAAACCACTGCAGGTATGTAAATCAGCAGATCAGCAATTAAAACTAAAAAGCAAGCAAATAATTTTAAATATGATTCCATCAGGTCTCCAACAACCCATTAACCACTTTCTTCCTCCAACCTTGACAGAGAATTTTATTGACGCAAGGTTCCTACCCACTACAGGCAGATCCCTGACACAATCAGCCCTTCACATTTTCTTCACCTATGTCTGGTTATAAATGCTACACCATAAATCTTCTCTTAATTTTCTATAACAAATTCATACATTTAATCCATGCAATGTTCTTGCTTTGCTCTAACTTGAGCTTTAAAATGAATACTCAATGGGCCTGGAGAGATGGCTCAGTGGTTAAGAGCACTGGCTGTTCTTGCAGAAGACCAGGGTTCAAGTCCCAGCACCCACATGGAGGCTAACAACTGTCCATAACTCCACTTCTGTCCTCCGCAGGCCCTGCATGACACGGGCACGCTTAGATACATGCAGGCAATACACTCATACACAAAATAAAAATAAAAAGTAACAGACAACACATCTTTTTGCTCAATATAAATGCTCAAAATTTTCTACTATAAAAAACAACTCAGGAGAATCTTTTTTAACATTAATATTTATAAAAATATATAAATGTTTGCTAATTGACACATATAAAGAGCTTAAGAGAGCAGATCATTAGTGACTCATGCATGTTAATCCTACCACTGGGCAAGATGAAGCATGTAGATTGAGAGTTCAAGGCCAGCCTGGGGTTTCACGAGTTCCAGACTAACCATGAGACGTGGCAAGATGCTGTCTCAAAAACAGAAGGAAGGAGAGAGGGAGGAAGGGAGGGAGAAAAGGTGGGCTTAAGAAAGGAGGAAATTAGCAGTATGGTCCTTTTAGAACAAAGAAAAATAAATATAAACACATTCTCAAGTAGGACAATATTGCTGTCCAAAGAGTCTATTTTTTCTTACAAAGGAATGCTCAGTGTTCTCTGAAACTAAAACAAGCTGTCCCTAAAGGCTGTGAATTTCTTGAAAACACAGATGTTGGTTCAGATGCTGAACAACCACAAGGTGAGTGTACAGTTCAGAAAAGGTTAAAGCATTAGAAGGAGAAGCAGAGAGACAACACAGATAATCTCCTGGGCCTGAGAGTCTGTAACTGAGCGAACAGTGAAGACAATAAACAATAAGTATTTAGACTAATTAACAAAAAGGCACAAGCCAGAATTAAAGTCTCGGTCCTATAAGGCTTTTAAAGAAATCTAAGCTTATTACTTTCAATTTCCTAGAACAAATCTCAATAAACATCTGTTGAAAGGTTGAAAACATAGCTCAGTTAGTAAAGGGCTTGACTACCATTTGTAAACTGCTTTGTTTAATCCCAGCACCAACCAAAAAAAATAAAAAGAGGAGGCAGTATCTGAGTGGATTATTTAATGTAGCACTAATGTACAAACAATACAATGCATAAGGTACAACTATAAGGATTACTTTAAGAAAAAGATGAGAAGCTGGAGAGATGGCTCAGTGGTGAAGAGCACTGACTGCTCTTACAGAGGACCCAGGTTCGATTCCCAGCACCCACATGGTGGCTACAAACCGTCCTCAACTCCAGTTCCAGGGGAATCCGAAGCTCTCTTCTGACCTCCATGGCATCGCACAACACAGGTGCACTCATGTACATGCAGGCAATACACTCATACATATAAAATAAAAATAATAAATAAGGGGCTGAAGAGATGGCTCAGTGGTTAAGAGTACTGACTGCTCTTACAGAGGACCCAGGTTCAATTCCCAGCATCCACATGGTGGCTACAAACCATCCTCAACTCCAGTTCCGGAGGAATCCAAAGCCCTCTTCTGAGTGCATGACACGGGTGCACTCACATACATGCAGGCAATACACTCATACACATAAAATAATAAACAAAATACTAAATAATAATAAAATATTTGATTTTTAAAAAAAGAAAAAGATGAAATTACTCAAGATCAAGAAGGTGAAATGGGGGCTGGAGAGATGGCTACATACAGGCAATACAGGCATACACACACAAAAAAAATTTTTTTAATTAAAAAAAAAAAGGTGAAGTGAGGTATGCCTCAGGGCCCAGGGCACACTAGTCCTAAGAAGCTGAATGCATGTGCTAGACCATGTACGGAAACATCATACAGGGCAAATATGTTCCTGAACTTAGGTGCTTTTATCTTGACCTCAAAATTCTGAACTCAGGACCTGGCTATTAAGAAAAAAATAACTGGGAAGCCAAGATGGCGGCACAGCTGTGGGCACTCCAACAATGATGGTGGCAGCAGTGAGGCAAGGATGGCGAGGAGCTTTTTGTGCCCTTGGGATCCAGCTGTGTGCTCCCTAAAGGTCTAGCCTGGGGCTCAGTAAAGGTGAGGAGTTTTAAGTGGGAAATGATCTTCATGTTTCAATCAGAGGGCTTAAAACATGACTCCAGTAAGACAATGAGTAACCACTTGTTCCCCCAAGCCACGGAGGAAGATGTGAAAACAGCAGACACCAAAAAAGCCAATCAGATCCTTAACCATGAAAAAGAAAATACTTGGGCTGGAGAGATGGCTCAGTGGTTAAGAACACTGACTGTTCTTGCAGAAGACCAGGGTTCAAATCCCAGCACCCACATGGCAGCTAACTGTCTATAACTTCAGTCTCAGGGGATACGACAGCCTCTTCTGACCTCTGCGGGCATTGCACGACATGGGTGCACTTACCTACATGCAGGCAATACACACATACACATAAAAAAAAAGAGAAAACACTCTTCCATCTGTCTCCTTGAGCAAAAATGAAAAGTAGTTTTCTCTAATACTGATGACCCTCTAGTGAGAAATTCAAGCCAGCAAGTAACTGTTGCCTCTGTTTGCTGCACAGACGCCAAAATACTTTTTCTTAACCACAAATATAATCATGTAGACAGAGCAATAGAGACAGGAAAATAGTAAGCACTAGAGTAATTGAAATTATAGCCCCTCCTAAAAGCTGTGGTCCCCTCCTATTAATCTGAAGCTATAGTCCCCTCCTGTTCACCAGAAGCTATGGTTCCCTCCTGTGAACCTGGAGCTATGTTCCCCTCCCATAACCCTGAGCTATAATCACCTCCTGTGAACCTGGAGCTGTGGTCCCCAACTGTGAGCCACAATCCCCTATTCCTCTGGTGATAGGCTGATGGTGGATCAGATTGGAAGATGGAGAACTTCCTGATGTTGGGCAGCAGTTTCAGCTTTCTCTGAGTGGCTGTACTCCCCACAACTCCCTCCCTCAAGGTCCCAAGTTGTGCACTGCAGTGGTTTTGCCTCTGTGCTAGGCTTATGCTGGGGACAGGCAAGATTTCTGTCATTTGCAGATTCTAGTTTTGGGAGGACCAATTCTCAGGAATGCACTTCCCACCTCCCTTGGCAGCCAGCTATAGGTCCGGACTCCACATGTGATTTGGGGCATCCAGGCCTTGATGCTGGTCCTTTCCCATTCCCAGGCACCAAGAGGTTTTCCAACATTTTTCTATTACTCTTCTACAGTCCAGTGTACCTTCACCTGTGCCCTACAGAAAGTGTAAATCGTGTAATTGAACTTGTAGAGATAAAAATCAGTCTGGGAAGCTAAAAATTAAATTAAAAAAGAGAAAGAAAAAGATGAAAGGAACCTAGAGTTAGGATATTAAAGCAGCAGCCTAAACATGTAAAGTTTCAGTGCCCAACTATCTGACCTTAGGCAAGCTCTCTGTCTCATTTATCTATGCCTCAGTAGTTTCCTCAGCTTAAAATAAGGGTAAGAATATTTATCTCAAGTGCTCAAAGAATCAAGTGAGAATAAGCATAAAATGCATAGAATTATTCCTTTTTGCTCTTGGTTTTCAGCTTACATATACTTTTAGCCTTATAGCATATATACATATATACATGTGTATGATTATACAATTTTAAAGTCATTAGAATAATTTTTATTGATTTGTCCAAAATTGTTTTTTAAAAATCTAATTTTACACTCAATACGGACTCTTCTTTTACCTGTAGTACGCATGAAGAGCTTATGTTCTCGACTCTCATATCCACGAGATGTATGGAGAGCAATCCAGTCTGGATTTATAAACTTTGCCCTGCAAATCAAAACATATATGTACATGTATTACATTCCTCCTCACTTTTAGCAATCAGGACATCTGAGGACATAAGACTGAGAACTGACTGTTGCTCTTTAACAGAGTCAAAGTTGAAGCTCTGCTCTGAATTTAATCACATAAAACTTGCCAAGGCTCTAAAATAGTGTCTCATCTGCTATGCTTATCTTTCAGCAAACCATGTAACATGGAGAAGTCCTACTTCACCATTTGAGTATGAAAATAATCTGATGTCATATTTAATTTATTAAAAACATATTTTGGGGACTGGCAAGATAGCTCAGTGGTTAAGTGCACTAGCTGCTCTTGCAGAGGACCCAGGTTCGATTCCCAACACTCAGATGGCAGCTAAAAAGTGCCTGTAACTGGGCGTGGTGGCACCTTTAATCCTAGCACTTGGGAGGCAGAGGCAGGTGGATCTTTGTGAGTTCCAGGCCAGCCTGGTCTACATAGCGAGTTCTAGGACAGCTGGGGCTACAGGGAGACCCTGTCTCAAAAAGACCAAAAAAAAAAAAAAAAAGTGCCTGTAACTCCAGTTCCATGGGATTTGGATTTGATACTCTCTTCTGACCTTCATGAGCACTGCACAACATGGGTGCACTTACACACATGCAGGCAAAACACTCATACACATAAAATAAAAATAATAAATAAAATATTTTTTAAATCTTTTAAAATATTTTTAATAATCTCTTCAGTTACTATAACTGACTGTAATAAACAGATAGTTATCATAAATTCTACATAAAACTAAACTATCATTACTGATAAATGAGATTTTCAATCATATTATAATATCCTGAACACTGCAAACTATAAAAGTAATCATGAAAAAAAAATTTTTCTTTTTTTTTTTCTTTTATATTTTGAGACAGGGTCTCCCTATAGCCCCAGTTGGCCTGGAACTCACTATGTAGACCAGGCTGGCCTTGAACTCAAAGAGATCCA